CCATAAAAGTTATTTTTACATTATTAAAAAATGTGAGCAATTTTCATAATATTAGTTGCCTTCCTGTTTTTATTCCCTGGAAAAATTTCTACGTTCCATTTGGGTTTTGTTAATAAAAGTTCAGATACTAAAAGAATAAAGTTACGTAAGTATTTCTCCATTTAATTTCAGTGGAAGAAGAAAGGGAACAAAATGTGTGTAAATTTGTTGAAGTAAGTAATTTGAATATTTTTAAATTATGTTCTTTATTGTGTCAATTATTACAAGAAATGGAATGGGGAAAAATTTAAGTTGAAATTTCCATTGAGTTCAATTGTAAATATATAACTTTAAGATTATATAGTATGATTTTTATTATATAATTTCAGAATATAAATAAAGAATGATAATTGTGAAATTACAAATGGCTTAAGTCACAACTTTTATAAAGCATGTTTTACAAACTATCAAATTCAATTAAAAATTTTTAAAAAAAGGCTCATTTATAAAAAAATTAAGAATGCATATTAAAATTATTAATGATATAAAATTCATCAGAAAACCCATTGTATGAAGAAAAGAAAAAAAATATCCATAAAAGTTGCGATATAATATTATTTCTTAATTAAATTTGAAATATTCAAAAAATCAGCTGAACATAAGATATATTTTGGAGTAAGAAGGAGAAAATGGAAGGTTAGCAAAAAATCGCTGATATAATTTTATTTAGTATTTCTGTATTGCTAAGTAAATAATGCATGGAATGACATTATAAAACTATTATTCTATCCTTCACAGCAATACAGAAAATTCAGTAAAATTATATTGTCAAATTATTCTACTACCATCCATATCTTCTTGCTTACTCCCCAAAATAAAAAGCAACGCAAGATAATATCAGAAAATATAAAATCTTAATATTATATAGCATCAGAACTAATGCAAGATAATATAATGGCGAACGCTAGAAAACTTTAGTTTGCATAGAATCTAATATTATATAAAGCAGAGCAAACAGCGACCTCTTGTATCTTTCTAATATTAGATGTTGTGCAAGATAATATTAGATTTTACCGATTTTCTGATGTTATCTAATATTAGGTGCCACTTGGGGTGGTGTGTGTTTTATGTAAGTGATTTTGGTATTTTCCATATTTATTTTTACACAGTAATGAATCATAAAGAAATGGACAACATACTAATATAATTTATTGCATGAAAAAATATTTTAATTTGAACTACTTCCAAATTTATATTCATATTTAGCGAAAATGGTGGGCGGGATAATACATAAGTATCGAAATAACTATTTTTTAAATTTTTAGGTACTCGATGCGACGCTTACGATTTCCTACAAATATAAATTTCCGTTCTTCAACTGTTATGTTATTATATAAAATGTAATTTTATAACTTGAATCTTAATATTTTTTTGTGATGCGGGGAAAATTTAAAGCGAACGTGTTGTTTTGTAATGCATGGTATTCTTCTTATACCAGTTATGAGTTTGTAAAAGATATTTATGACTGTTAAGATCAATATGTGCCATCTTTGAAAAATATATGAAAATGGGGTGAAACATTAATATGAAGAAAAGTCATAGTTTTGCGAAAACGATCTTGTTTTTTAAGATTTCTCCAACGCTGGATTATTTGGACTCATAAAAAATTTTCAAAACTCGAGAATTAATTATTGATTTTACTCTAGGTGGAAATATCTCCCCAAATTGACGATTTTTATAAAGAGTTCAATAACTTTTAAAATATTAGTTTAGGCAAGGCTTTGCTAGTTAATTTGCGAATAATAGCTAAAAAACGGATAAATTTCGGCTCCGATGCTACGGATACGAATCACCCCTTAATATTAACATACAATTTTCAAGCTCGGCTTGAAATTATAGTTTAATATACTTAACTATTGTACCAAAGGAGATTTTTATAGACAAATTAGGGGTCCCACAATGGACCAAAATAGGTTCCGTTAAATAACCGCAGGAAAGTTCTTTCTGCTAAATATTCGTGGAACAGCGTGGTTAGTAGCGCCACGGGATAGTAAGTAAAGAAATTTGTAGACCAAAGGGTCCGTGGTTCGATAGCGGTCAAGGGTTAATTTTTTTATTTATTTCTTTTGTATCATTTTTTAATATCTTTTTCAATATTTTAATGTGAATAAAGTGTTCTATAAATAAAAAATAGCTATTTTTCTTTTGGAAAGAGAGAATAATAGTTAAAAAAAAAAGGATAAATTTCAGTTCTGAAGCTACGCATACATATCACCCCATAATATTAACTTATAATTTTCAAACTCGGTCAGAAATAATAGTTTAATATACTAAACAATCGTACAAAAGGATATTTTCATAGATAAATTAGGGGGCCCACAATAGGTTTCGTTAAATAACCGCAGGAAAGCTCCTTAAGCTAAATCTTTTTCAATATTTTAATGTGAATAAAAAGTGTTCTATAAATAGAAAATAACTATTTTTCTTTGGGTTAATATTAAGGGGAGATACGAGATCATTTGTATGCGTATGTGAAATTTATCCGCTTTTTAGCTATTATTTACTCTTTCCAAAAGAAAAATAATGCTTTTCATACAAGATAAGTTACTTTTCTCTTTGCTAACTATTTAGCTTCACCTTCTGGGCTTAGTCCCAAAGGAACTGGATTTGGTATGTTTATGCCGTTCAGTCTGATTCATCACAATTAAAACATATCACAAATTTTTTAGAAAATCCATAAAATTTATTGATCTTTAAACATACAATTAAAATGATAAAGTTAATAAAAGTGATGAATGAAATTATGTACAGAAATTATTTACAAACATGACATTCATTTCATAACATTTCAAATGATTGACAGTGGGATCAGTTGAAATAAAAATTGACTCCAACAAAAATCTGTAATTTTGTGAGCCTGTACAAATATTATTCTATAATTATTTTCTGTTAGGTTTTCAAGCAGGACAAAAATATGAATACTTATTTAATATCCCCAGCATCCCAGGAATATGGCCACACATTAAAAAAAATCAAATTATTTATATTGAATGTAACTTTGAACATTAACACACTAGGCAGGAATTACACTCTTTGCAAACTGGTGATCGTAATACAAGCATTTCTTTTTTGCAGCATAGTATATCCCAGAAAATTTCCTTCATAAACTAGTCCCATATTTAAAATTTCAAAAAAAAAAATGGTTTTTATATGCAAAAACTAAATCAGTTTGAGGTCCACCTAAACTGTGTTGTTAAAAAAAGCTTTTCCGGAGTGGCAAAAAGAAGTGTCAATTGTATGTATTCAACTAAAAACTCAAAGCAGGATTGACAAAAATCTAACTTAACGAGATGAATTAAATTTTTTCAAATTCTACCAAAAAAATAGATAGTTTCATCATAAAATTAAACCAATTTCTCTACCCCCTCTCGTGATATTGTCGAAACAAGTAAAATTAGGTTTGTAAATCTTAAGTATTTTAAAAACATGCCAATACAAACCATACATGCCAATTCATCTGGATTTTCTGAAACATAATTTTTTTTAAAATGGCAGAAAAATTTATACTCTTGCTTTTAATTTTTGACCGATAAATTGAATTTAAAAATGTTCTTAAGCTCCACTGCATATAAGTATTTAAAAAAAAGAAAAAGATATATATATCAAGTAAATGTTTCTAGGAGCATCTATTTAAATACCACTTTTAATGAAATGAACAGAATTAAAAGAATATGTAGTAATATTTATTTATCCAAAAAACAAATCGATAAACTCTTTCAAAATTTGATAAAAAACAATGGATACCCAACTAAAGTAATAAAATTTTATATAAAATCATTGAATTAATCGTATATTTTTGTCTTTGTTAATTTATATAATTTTCCCATATGCAAATCCATTTCGGGTAAATCCATTACCAAAATAATTATCTAAATAATTTCTTTGTTAATTTGTATAATTTTTCCATGTGCAAATCCTTTTTGGGCAAATCAGTGGTTAAAATTATTTACTAAATATTTCTTTATTAATTTATAAAATTTTTCCATGTGTAAATCCATTTCGGGCAAATTCGTGGCTAAAATTATCTACTAAAATTTGTTTCTTTGTTAATTTTTCCATGTGCAAATCCATTTCGGGCAAATCCGTATTAAAATTATCTATTACAATTTATTTTCTTTGATAATTAATATAATTTTTCCATGTGTAAATCCATTTCGGGCAAATCCGTGGCTAAAATTACTTGCAAAACAGGCAATTTATGTTTCTCTTTTCTATTTTATATTTTTTCTTAAATAAACATCTATTTTCTAAAACTATTTATGGTCAACTTTTTTTAAAAAAATATTCATTATAATATTACCTTGCGCACATCCATTTCGGGTCCATCCTTGGTAACTAACAAATCAATGCACAGAATAACAAATCACTTCAGCAGTACAGTAAGAACGGCACTTTAAAACCCTCTAGTTACACTCAATTTGCGCTTTTGTTTTCATATTTTGTAATCTGGCAATCTTGTTGCGAAAACATTTTTAAATCATTCTTGAAAAATTTCCCGTCCATGTAAGTACATCTGATTTCACTACTCGCTTTATAGTCTATGTTTTACACTGTTTTTTCTTTTATTTTATTTTCTGTTTTTACATGTTATTTTTACTTATTGTGTTCTATTTTATTTGTTGTCATTTTTGTAAAACATTTTTTTGAGTGCTCCTCACACTATTGTATTAATATATTTTGAATACAATATCAGAAAGCACTCTTTTTTGCGGATATAATCGTGTGAGCTGATGAAATGATTATATCTTTTTTTTTCGTTTCTTTTTAAATAAAATTTCATCCTTTTTTCTTTTTTTTTAAAACTGTTATTTGTTATTTTTATACTTATTATTTCCCCCCCCCCTTTTTTCATATGTGTATAATTCTTTTTTGTTTTATCTTCATCTTTAACTTATCTAATGAGTTCTGTTTACTTGCAGCTTATTTATTGTTTTTCTTAACTTTCTTCGTGTTTTCTTGTATTTATTTATTTATTATATCTATATATATATTATTTTTGCTTGTACATTTATTACAAAATATTTTCCTCGTATATTGCCATTACTTTAAATAACCCTTTTATAATTAATAAAAGGTAATTAATTTATTAGATGAAACTCAAAAATTGTTGACAATTTGTTAGGATTTTTGTTTGACATTTTGTTAGGATTCTTTTTTCTTAAATTGATCAAATTTTTGATTTATTTCTCACTCAAATATTAATTTTTAATACTTTAAAACTTTATTTTGGATGACGATTCTAAAAAAGTATACATTAAATGTGGGAATTATGGAACACCCTGTATCTTTATCATGAATAATAAAACAATTTTCCATGATTAAAATCTTTTTCTTAATGATCATTGAATGGTAAGTTAGGTGGATTTAAAAAAGAAATTCATGCTTGTTTGTTTCAAACTCATAAGTTCAATAAACTAACAAAAATATTACTTAAGGAAATTTCTTGCAAGAAATATGAATTTTAAATTTTTAAAAAATATTTTATTTATCCCCGTTTAAGAGCATTTAAATTAGATGATATGTTTAAATTCATTGTTATTTAAAAAGGTATTAAGATAATTTTGAACACAATAAATCAGTAAGGTAAAATAAGTTTCTCTGGAAAATTATAATATAATTTTATAATAATTTAATTACATATTATACAATGTCATAATAACTTAATTTATAATGGCTTAATTTTAACTACATATTTCCATAAAAATAGACAGTAAAAGAAATAATTACATCGAAGTGTTTACAATGTTACATTCAAAAAGTGTTTACAATCAAATATTCATTTAACAAATTTTCATTCATTGAATTATCACCATAATATTGTGAATAAATATGTTATTATCACAGGTAAATTGACTTCACACTTGCCACAGAAGTAAATGATTAGTGCTATCATCACGACCAGCTGCTTCTCCTATACCACCAGACTGATGGAAATTTTCATAACCATCACCCCCACTTATGACTAACAGTTTACAGGCATTATTTGTTGATGCTCGTCGACTCTTTGATTTCACTAATCGAAAAACATACTTTTGAAAGCTCACTTGTTCTAAAACGTATCCAGGAGTCATTTCAACACATGTTAAGAATCTAACATGCCCTGTATGTCCATGGGAAAGACCTAAAAATAGAAATATGCTCTGCTACATATGAGATATCAAAACTGAAAAAGAATAATAACATTTAATAACATTCTGATTCTTGTAACTTAGCAAATTTTCAGACATTTATAGTTTAATATCTGCACTATTATATTGATTTTAGAGCATATAATACTAGGGCTTGAATTCCTTATGTGCAATGAAAACATTAAACTTGAAATTAAACCTATAAATGTATTATAAAAAGTATTGCAGCGACCTGCGCCGGTGTAGCGATTAATGAACATTTTCTAAGAACCCGCTCTCCCTTTTGGCGAGTTCCTCTATTAGTTATGACAACCCAAGCAGAGCATTTTTTTTCTCTCCCTGCAGTACAGTGACTGTTTTCCTCCAGCGTAGTGCATATGCAGTGTTTTCTTCTCCTGGCATTTTCGGCCAGGCTTTTTATGTAGCATTTATTTAATCTTCTTATTTTTTATTAAATGTTGTTAATTGTTATTTTATGGCTGGCATTTTCTTTTAACAATGTTTTATTTATTAATTAATTATTTCTTTTCTTTTTTGCAAAAAACATAAATTATTTTACTTTAATTTATCTCAGTGCATGTGGCCTAACCAGGCGCACTGAAGTATCATTAATCAAAAAGGTAGGGGAAAGTGGGGTTGGTGGGGACATTTTTTTACAAATCTGTCACATTTAATATAATTTTTAATTCATAAAATATTTTTTAACAATAATTTGAATGAATACATGCATTCTGGTATTTATCTGAAATAACAAAGTTGTTTAGTTTTTCAATAATATTTTTCCTTAAAAAAAATGCTGTTTTGTCTATACTATCCTCACCAGAACTTATTCAATAGTCATTCATTACTATGCAGAACGGTATATCTAAAGCCAAAATGAAATCAATTTTAATCTCACTTTATTAGAGAATAAATATTGACATATTTTAATTAAAATTCTAATTTGTAATCGAGTATTTCCCTATACTAAAAAGGACATTGAAAGCAAATCAATACATTAGAAAATCATTATTCAATTCGATTTTATTTCAAAGAACAAAACGAATTTTAAGTTAAATCAATGTTCATAACCATAACTTGATGGGGTAGTAGTCTGAATGGACAACACACGGAATGCATTGGTTAGCCATATTTTCCTTACTGTAGCAATGAAAACAACTCGCAGAAAAGATGATAGTAGCATTCACCAAAATTATGTTTTAGTTTAATGTACCATAAATTCTTCTTTAATTCATCTATATTGAATTATATTCTTTTAACAAACTTGATTAAAATTTCTTCAATCCTTTAAAGATTGAATTAATATAAAGGCTTCGTGCTGCATTTTTAACATGAAATTGAAACCACTAATTGTGATTGCATATAATTCCACAAAATAATTCAAATTTAGAAAATAAATATCATTAAATTTATTGCATTTGCAACAAATTAATATTTCTTCCATTGCAAGATGAATGGTGTCAGTGTGAATACATCCTCACTAGCCCCACCTCCTTGTTTCTACACATTATATAGATCAAAAGTTAGTTTTAAAATAGAATTTTTAAAAAAAACTTATAATGTATAACTTATTGCCACTTTTTGTTGAAATTTTGAAAATTTAATATGTTAATTAAGAGAAAAAATTGAAAGTTACTTTCATACCTTAAAAATGTCTTATTTACAAATTCCTACTAAAGTATTCATCGTCTGATTATGCAACTGCACAAGGAAGTTTGCATCAATGTTACAAATCTATGATATCCCACAGTGGAAATTTGACTAAAGAGCAAGTTCTTCTCCTCAGAAAGTTATTGTCCTCAGTAGCCCCCTTTATCTCCTAAATATTATGCTAATCATATACAGTGAACTCTCACTTATGCACCGGCGTAAGGGGCCAAGAGAAAAAAATGCATAAGTGAAAGAGGCGCATAAGTGAAAAACTTCAAAATTCTAAAACGCAACGTAAATTGCAGTGACAATAAGAATAAATATGTTTCTAAAGATAAAATATCAATATTCATACTGTTTTGGTATTTACTATAACTATACAAAAAAAAAAATAATTTAACATAGCTCAAGACAATTTATTTTCTTACAAAATAATCTTAATACTTGTTTGTATTTGTTTTTGACGACGTATTTCTAAAACAGTTTTTTTCAGTTCATATAAATGTGATAAGGGGGAGTTTCAGAAGCAAAATTAAAATGTAAATAGTCACGAATAGTGTCTAAAGCTTCTAATACTGCTGTGTGATTTGGAGGAACTTAATCATCCTCGTCAGTATCATTCACCACGTTCTAATCGTCCACAAATACTAGTCAGATATAAATGAACAGTTCTTCACAAAAAATTTGAGTTTTATGGGAGGGGGTGAAACATCACAAGATAAATTTCTAAGAAAAGTACTTGACGTCATAATATGCTGCACAATAAGTTGAACCTCCTCTTATTTACTCATGATGTCCATCTGACAACAAGTAAGTGATTGCTGTCTCTTTAATCTTTCCTATTCCAGGTGTCTTCTTTTTCTAGAAAACAGCATGGGAGTAAAACTAACCTCTGGATAAGAGGATGTCTTGGGGTATTATTCACTTTTAGATGCACCTGGATTTCAGCCCCCACCCCTCTAAGAATCTGCAGCTATGATGGAGGAGATAATGATGTAGGGGGTTAAAGAGGGCTGATAGTCTTAGGGTTGCACACCCTTTCGTTTTGGCGCACGAAAGGGACACCCCTTCGGTTAGACGTCCATAGGGGTGACGGACCAGCAATTAAGTGCATAATATATATATATTTAATACACAAATATATATATTTATTTATACATATAATAAAATAAAGAATTAGTGTGTGTGTGTNATAGATAGATAGATAGATAGATAGATAGATAGATAGATAGATATAGATAGATATTAAAATAAAGAATAAGTATGTGTGTGTCTCCAACTGGATTGCTGATGAGCCTTAGGTTCTAAAAATATGACGTTCAACAAACATGAAGCGAAATTAGAACATTATAAAAAAATTACAAAGCCCTATTAACTATTTTTCATTATATTTTTAGTTAAGAGATATTTAAATTGCTATATCAAAGTCTTAACAATAAAGATAAGGTACGATTGCGCGATATTTTTATCATATATAAACTTCAGAGCATGATGACCACATTTTATGTATTTATCTAAATTATTTAAAATCCTTCCTTATCCAAATGCTTTTTTAAATATAAATTCCAGAAAAATATGTTATTAATTGCCAATAATGTTTAATTTCCCCCCCCCCATTCAAATGGAGCTTTTACAGAATTTGTAGAGAAAATTTTTTGATTTCCACACCTGCGCTGTTTCTAACTACTATTTTAGACACAAAAAACTTGCTAAATTATAATTGGTTCTTTTGTTTATTTTCAAATTAAGTAAAAAAATGCTATAATTTATCATTTTGCTATCATTTATAGACACGGTGGTCGCTGTATCTTATTAAAAATATAGCGGTGGTACAGAATATTAAGAAATCGAATAACCAAGTTGATAATTGAATGGTATTTATGTTTTATTTACATTTTATAATTAACAGTAGATTAAATAATTATTTTTATAACTTATCCACAATAGCCCCCTCTCGTGTCTACAGTAGTGGTTAATTTTTTTTTAAACAAAACGATTATTAAAAAAGTATACTTCTAAATTATTACATCATAATATTCGATTTTTTCATTCAAAATGAAGATAAATGTTCGAATTTCAATTAAAAGAATACTACAGGATTTGCACAAAATAATCGAAAGACTTTGATACTAACACATTTTTTGATATTTCTCAGAAAATACTAAAACCCTATGACAAAAAAATTTAGTAATAAATTTGTAACTTATTATTTTGGTTCTTATATGCAATAATTGAACTAAACTTCCCAAACGTAGCTTAAATATTTTTGAAAATACGAACATTTTTATAAAAAATAAGAAAATTTTTAAAAAATTTAAAAAAAAAAAAAACGAATTTTTTGGTCTTGCGTTTTTTTAATAACTTTAAAAAAATTCAATAAAATAAAAAAAAACGTTTGAATAAATTTTAAATTGATTAAAAAATTATTGACATAAAATTTTAAAAAAAATTGTTAAAAACTGCTCCAAATACGTGCTCCAATACTAATTCCATCACACTTTGTTGTCCAGACCATCATTAGTAGGATATTATCATTTGTTAATAAATCTTGTTTAATAGTACAAAATGAAATTTGTGAAAAATCCCTCATAATTTTGAGCTTTCTCTTAAAAGAGTAAGAAAACTACTTAGAAAATTGCTTGAAACTTTTTCATTTTTAAGATATTCAAATCGAACTTAACTTATTAGTTGTCAAATACGATTCACTGTAAAATTAAGATAATTTTTTTTAAAATTTTTTTCTGCACATGCGCTGTATAAAGCAACTACTTTAATTACTCTTATCTGATCAGACAGTAATGACTTCAGATCAGACAGTAATGACATGCAAATGTATGTATTGATGATGTCATGTAATCATACATGACAAAAGAATATTATTTTTTTTTAATTTTAAAAAACGAAATAAGGGAAAAGTCATAAAACTTTTTTGCTAATTGAAAAATTTCTTTCTAATGATTTGTCTTGACAACGAACTTTAATAGTTTGGATTTCTAAGCTAAAATATATAATAACGTTGAAAAAAATTTCAATAAGTATCTTAAACATTGGCTATAGTCAAGATTATCTTCACGATTAAAAAAATATAAATCTTAAAAATGTTAAAACAAAGAAAGAAGAAAAATGAAAGTTGAATAAAATTAAAGCAATCTTAAGCTAAATGATTTCTCCTCTTGGTCCGGTTTAATTTATATGGTTTGAAATCGAAAGTGCGATGTTTAGAAGAGAAAATAAAATTATTCAATTGATAAACAGAAATGTCCACATTTTAAAAGAATTATAAATTATATTTCTGATTGTCGGATAATTTTTTTTTCCTCTATCAGCAGTATTTATAGCTTTA